TCTCAAAGGTGCCACAGGACCCTCTGTTGCTTTTTACAGATTCAGACTAACACGGCTACCCCTCTGATAGTGGGTCTTGGGCTGGAGCCCAGGCTCTGAAAGCCAGTGATGGGGGAAAGATCTCAGAGTCCAAGCTCCAGCCTCAGTGAGAATGTATACACTGCTATATCTTCTTCAAGTAGATGCAGCTGTGTATTCCACTTAGGTGTGTGCGTGCCCAGTGCTCTGGAGTTGGAGAATTTTGCCTAGCAGTACCTCTGGAGGGGCAGTGCTCGCACCTCATGGCTGTAGCCCCTCCCTTGGCTTATGAAGCTGTTGGAGTTGGTGTCACTAGGCATAACCCTAGATAACTCGGGAGGGTGGAAAGCCACTAGTGTCAATGAAGCCTTCCTGCACTAGGCCCAAAAGAACCAAACTTCTCCCATGTTTAAACTCTAATCGACCTCACAAGAGCCAGGTGCAATTGGAATACGTAAGCAACCATATCTGTGTGCAACCCCCTGCTCACACCGGTATCAAGCGGTAATAATGAGGCCTGCATGTTTCTGGCTGAACGGAAAATAACAGTTCAAAGGGGAAAAGGACAAGATAACGCTTTAAAGAAGTTACTAACAAGCTAGGCTTATAGCTGCCAAGAATGACTTAACTGCTTAAATGTAATTGCTATTTGCTTAGTAACTGTTACCAGGGAAGGGAGGGGTAGAGGGGGAGGAAGGGAAGGGAAGGGGAAGGGGGGGTGAGGCTTAGTTGCAAAAATGTATAAGAAGCAAGAAACTGCTTATGATAGTGTGCTTGATCTGAGACTTGCCATTCTCCTTGCACCGCTTTGGGATCCCAAATAAACTTTGATTGCTTCTCCACCCTGGTGTGTTTATTGGCGCGAAGCACGCCGGGCAACGAACCCCGCTGTTGCTGTCCTCGGGCACTCTGTGCCGGCAACATAGCAGCACGACCCTGACCTCCCTCAGTTCCTTCTTACCTCCCATGACTGGAGTTGCAGCTCTGTGTAGTTTTCAACCTCACAATCCTTTATTCAGTGACTTTTTTCTAGTTTTATATAGTTCATGAGTACCGCTAGTACAGTGTTACTTAGATTTAGTGTTAGTTGGAGCTTGTGTTCCCTCACCAGGGTTTAAACGTTGTCCATCATGTGTGTGTGGGGGGGGCATAGGGGGGAATCACCAGTAACAATCCCCATGCGCAGTGCTTGCTGCTCTAGATGAAGCCCCCATCATGGAGCAATGTTTGATTTGCAGATCATTCACGGAACGGACTCAAGTGGTGAGGGGTCTTCATCTGAAGCAGCATCTGCTTGAACAGGCCATGCTGCCTGCTTCTTCACTGAGCCCCTCATCAGATTCCAGGTCATCCTCTGGTTCTAAGAGTGCTGCCTCTTCTCATGCTGGAGCTGGTGCCTCTCTGAAGAGAGGGAGGCAAAGACAGCCTGTATCTGCCAACAATGTGGGGCAGAGTGAAGGCAGTGGCTTCAGCAGATGTTACTGAGCACGCTCAGTACATGCCAAGCAGCAACTCGGAGGGCCTTCCCCCCCGTGGCCTCCCTGTCGTGTTGCCTCTCCACAGAGGAGTAATTTCCTGTTGAGTGTGCCTAGGTCATGTAAAAGGTCATGTAAAACCAACCGAGACTGTTCCAGGTCCCGTAGGGACTTGTCTTCCTCTTCCAAAAGGAGCATGAATCAGCATGTGGTAAATGCAGATGTGTGGGATGGAGCAGATCCCACCAGCCTCTCCCCAGTACCATCCATACAGGTCAGAGACCTATACAGTTGACTCCGGTTCCGGCCCCACGGTGTCTCTTGAGTCCAGTATTGACGAGGGCAATGTTGGCATAGTCTGCTTCTGTGCTGGTGGCATATCAGGCAGCAGCGGACCTCTCCTGTCTTTCTGTCCCAACCTCTCCCTTGGTCCAGGACTGCATCCGTTATAGCCCCATTGGCTGCATCCTTTATAGCCCCAGGCCACTAAACCTATGTTTCTGTTAGCGCTGCACCCCGATATTTCCCTTCCACACTCAGTGGAAATGGGGCCAGTACCAAACTGAGCACAAGGGACCTCCTCAGCACCAGGAACTTCTTCAGTAACCCCATGGCCAGTGCTGTCAATGTTGCCATGGCAGCAGTCTCCGCCCTCCACTTCAACACCAGTGGTTACTTGGGTACCGATGCTGACTTCAAGGTCGGCACTGCTCCTGGCAAGGGAAATGACCAAGGCATACTCGGTGCTGTTGGAACTGTTTCCACCATTGATGCCACACCTCCCTCCCCCCAGGCTATTGACAAGTTGGACTGGCTGCTCACACCCCCAGGGCTGGCCCTCCCATTTTCCCCAAAACCTGGGACTCTTCAGCATTTGAGTTGGGATCTTATTCCTCCCGCTCTCCATTGCCTGAGCGAGGGCTGTTCGTAGAGCACTATGGGTACCAGGATTGGTGCTCATCTCATGGTCAGGACAGGGCCCCCTAGCCTGGCACCTACTGGCCACCAATGACATATTCGTACCAGTGGACTCCATGGGCCACTCCTTGGTCATGTAGGTCCCATTCATCCTACTCGAAGCCAAGATCACCAGGTAGGTCTGTAGCCTTGACCATCAATTTGCCACAGGTCCAGGTACTGGTGAACCTTCCCTTCAAGGAGCCTCCAGAGTCATCCTGCCTGGGCCCATTGGGCCACAAGCAGGATCTGGCTCAGGCACAATTAAGTGCCTCATCCTTGTCCCCAGATGATTCCGCAGTGCCGGGCTCTTCCTTCCCTTTGGTACCGGAGGATTTCAAGTCGTACCAGGACCTGTTGCGGCACATGACTTCTTCCCTGGGTATTCAAGCAGAGTTTCTGCAGGAGAACACTCACATGTTAGTGGATACCCTCAACCATCAGCCCCTGGGAGAGTCGTCCTACCTATTAATGATGTGCTCTTTGAGCCTTCAAGGTCCTCTGGAGCACACCCCCTTTGATAGCACCTGCAGCTAAGCGCATAGAAAAGTGCTGCTTTGTTCCCATGCAGGGATTTGAGAGGTTTTGTTCCCATCCGTCCCCAGATTCCTTGGTAGTAACTGTGGTGAAAGATAAAGCCTGACATGACAGGTGTAAGTCCAATCCCAAGGAGAAGGACTCTAAGTGAATGTACCCAATGGGCAGGAGATTCACACTTCCTCTTCCTAGCGGAAACAAATTACTAATCAGCAGACACTGCTGTCCAAGTATGAATTTGTCAACTGGATGGCTATGTCTAAATTCATAGACCAGCTGCCATGGCCTTGAGGGAGGAACTTCAGACATTCGCTGCTTGTTGTCCAAGACTTCTTTGTAGTCCCCGCTGGATATCATGGATACTTCAGCCAGAGTGATGGCCTCCACAGTGACCATGAGGAGGTCTTCCTGGCTGCAG